GACAACAGCCCATCTGAGGTGGGATGGGGTGGGACATGGCTGGCTGCCTGGATCCTCTGGACCTGCAAGGCACATATGGAAGACGTGGGCCCAAGCTTCCTGAGCAAGTCCATACTGCTGAGAAAGCACCATCCATCATCCATAATTTTGCCAGTTTTCAACTCCTGCTTGGGAGAACACTGGGAGGCGGAAGGTGTGGGAGTGCTGAGACTTGCTATGTGGTCCTGAGGTGGGGCAGGAGCTAGTGATGTCCCTGTGTTGTTGGAGGATATTTATTTCTCCCTCCCCACATACCCACAGGAAGATCCTTCCATTCCCTTGCTTTCTGTTCCCACTGCCCCTTTCCCAGGAACATCGCACTTTTCCTGGTGTGTTAGAGCCTGGCATCTCTTGGATCAGGTTCATCTTTACAGCCAGGAGCAGAATCCCTGTATTGGCCAGGCAATGTGCCTTTGTTCCTCCTGACTCCCATTCTCTTGGCAGGTCTATACTCACGGGTGGTGTATACCTGCCTTGTGTCTCCAGAATCTCTGTGTGCACAGACCCAGGATGCTTCTGCCCGGTCCACCCCCGTCCGCATTTTTTCTCTGCCTGTGATTGGTGGTCTGTGGACCAGAACTTTCCTAGGTCTCTTGGCTGGAAGAGGGAGTGGAGGAGTGAAGGTCCCAGGTATGGTGCACAGCGCAGTCTAATGGGAAGCCCTGGGCTGTGAGGGTTTTGTATTCTCCCTGGGTAAAGCTGGCACAATGATCCCCTTCTGGCTTCTATATCTTTTCTTCCATAATAAGGACCTGGGGAAGAGGGGACAAGGTAAGTGACTGGTGAGTAACTCCAGGGCTGTGACTTGGAGAGGAGCTGCAGGGAGGGAGCATGAGTGAGGTGCCTGTGTTACCAGCCACAGGATGTCCCTGCCTAGAGATAATCCCTGGGGGGCATCACCACACACGTGCTCTCACCTCCTTCTCCTAACCAGCTTCCTCCAGAGACATGGTTATAGTTGGTCATTACCTTGATAGAAGTCTATAAACTGTGTTTTATATTTTATCGTAATGTACTTGACATATAGACATGTATGTATTATTTATATGTTGCCATGGCTATTAAAAAAGCCTTAAAATCCAACACCCAGCTCATGAAATAAACCATTCCCAGTGTTCGCGAGGCTGCTGTGGGCTCCTGTCTGATGCCGTTCTCGGCCTCCTCCCTGGAGGGAACCCCTGTCCTGATGGTATCTGTCAACACCCCTGCTTCTTTAAAGTAGCTTTTACCACATACATTGCATATCTCTAAATAGCACATTTCGAGCTTTATAAAAAAATGAAATTATAGCCTTTTGAGCTTCATTTAAATGCCACATATTGTTCTGGAAGATAAAAGGCAGATCTGTGTCCTTGAAGCATGCATTTTCACCACTGCAGATAAATATTGTTTTCTCTGGTGGCCCCTTCCTGGAGTCAGGGAAGAGACCCGGCTGCCTGCACGCGCTGAGACTCTGGGCGGCTGTGGAGGCGAGGATGCCGGGGCCTGCGATGGAAGCCGTGGTGCTGGGATCGCAGTGTGCTGGAGTCCCTGGGCCCGCTGAGGCTATGTCGAGGGGCAGTTGTTCTGGGTATCTGGGAAGCAGATGGATTGCGACTCCAGTGATGGACTAGCATGAGCAGAGGGGCTGAAAGGCGGAGTGTTAAGTGTGGAGCTCAGAAAGAGGACAGAAGCATGGAAGGTCAGTGATGGCTCACAACAAGCACCTTGGATGCTGAGCTCCAGCACCTGCACTCCTTGTGCAGGCAGATTGGTGGCTCCTGGTGGCTGGAACAGAGCTTTAGAGCTACAGAGCGAGCCAGACCCCCTTTTCCATCTGCCTTTGTCATTCAGCAGCTATTTACTGCACGCCTGCCATGTGCCTGGGCTATATACGTTTCATCACATCAAGTCAGGGATAAGACTGTGACTAAGACTTTCCCCTGTCATTATATACTTTAGGGTCTAGTGGAAAGTCACCTTTGGATAAATTATATGAGTGATTCCCAAATACTAGTGGGTTCTACAGCAAGCATTAGTTCCTTGTTCGTGTTGTGTATGAGCTGTGGATTAGCTTCAGCTCTGTTCCGTGTCCTCTGCCGTCTGGGTCCCAGACCGAAGGAGCAGCCCTTATGGGGCATGTGCTATTTCCATAATAGATGGAAATAGCAGGAGGTGAAACCAAGCAGTGGTTCTTTGACTGTTGCTCAAACCTGGCTTGTGTATGTGTGCTAAGTCGTTTCAGTCATGTCCAACTGTTTGCAACTGTATGGACTGTAACCCTCCAGGTTTTTCTGTTCGTAGGATTCTCCAGACAAGAATACTGGAATGGGTTGCCATGCCCTTCTCCAGGGGATCTTCCCGACCGGTGGATTGAACCTGAGACTCTTGTGTCTCTTACGTTGGCAGGGGTTCTTTACCACAAGTGCCAGCTGGGAAATCTCATTCCTTACTCACAATCCGCTGGCCAAAGACAGTCATATGGCTAGGACTGCTGTCACCATGGAGCTTTAATGGACAGTTGATGCTATCCCCATCAGCTTTCATGACATAAGGCACTGAATAAAGTATAGGTTTGTCTTTTGGGAAGGCCAGAGAATGTTTAGGAAGAGGATTACCATCCATCATAGGCACAAGCAGGCAGTTGCAGTCACAGTATAAGGCTTTAGAGGGAGTCACTGTACTACTTCTGACTTTATAAATTTACATGTAAAAAATGTATTTGTTCCTCTAAATTAGCTTTAGGGATTCTGTTGAGAAATAGTATGAGAATCCCTAGCCTGAACCTGAGGCTTGTTACAGGGAGCTTGCCCAGGGGAGGAGCAGAAAGTAGAGCTGGCCATAGTGGTCTTCACCTCTGTGCTGTGCTAAGTCTCTTCAATCATGTCCGACTCTTTGCGACCTTATGGATGGGAGCCCAGCAGGCTTCTCCATCCGTGAGATTCTCCAAGTAAGAACAGTGGAGTGGGTTGCCATGCCTTCCTCTGGGGGATCTTCCCGACCCAGGAATGGAACCTGTGTCTCCTATGGCTCCTGCACTGCAGTGGATTCTTTACTGCTGGGCCACCGGGGAAGCCCGGTCTTTACCTCTAGCCCTGGGTGTATGCACACAGGCTGTGCTAGTTACAAAGAAGCTTCTCACCCTGGGGACCCACCTGCCAACTTACAGTATTCCTCCTGGCACCCCTTCTGTCCATCTGGACCACCTGTAGGCACGTCCCATAGCTGGAGGCTCTTTAGTGCCGCATCCCTATACACACATATATTCCTCCTTCCCTTATAGTCACATCTACGGCTCTATAAGATTGCTCATTTTTTGCCCCTTCTCTGTGCTCGTGTTTTGTGTCTTCATTGTCAGCTGACATTTGTGGCCTGGGCCATGGCTTCCTTTCACATGGCCCCTAACATGCCTGCCACCAAACCGGGCATGTACCAAACACCCAACAGTGTGCACAGAAGGAAGCCTTGCATTGAGAGGAAGCCTGCCCCTGTTGGCTTGTCCATTGTGCTTTCTCTGCAGGGTCTCAGGTGACTGTGTGGGGGACAGGAGGGGTTACATGAGAGTGACTCCAGTGTGTGCAGATTGAAACCCTCTCTCCTTCCTTGGTGTGAAATCGGTGTGGGGACTGAACAGCCCATCCGCTCACAAGGAGCCAGGGTTCATCTGCACTCACGTGTTGCTTTGCAAACACTGGTGGCCTTTTGGAAGGTATGCATTTGTGTTTTCCAAGGGCAAGGATCATATCTCCTCTTTTCTCCCCTTTAAAAGATTCCCCGTGGCACCTGATAAGCGCTACACGCACAGTGGGTGCTCCGTCCCCTCTGCCTACCTCCCCTTCCTTTGAACCTGCAGCAGATACCAATGTGGTTCTGTGCCCCTGGGCCTTTGCAAAGACTGATTATATACTGCCTTGATCTAGAGAATTTTACAGGTGAAAAAGGAAGGAAACCCTTAGACAGCTGAGACCCAGGCTCCTAGCACAGTTGCATAATTAACCACACATGGAGTGCAACGCAGACTGTCTGTTCTCTCGGGCCCTTCACGTGACAGATACAGTGATGGGGACTGTTAACGTGCTTGGCCCTGGAGTCAGTTAGACAGGGTTTGGAATCCTGGGTTGTGAATGTCATGATCTTTCACAAGTTATTTAGCATCTGAGTCTCCTTTTCTTAAACCATAATGTAGAGATAATAAAATGCTGTTAATTGTTGTGGTCTTCTACATCTGTAAATGATATCCTTCTATCCTCTTGTTCTGAATCAATTGAGACTTAAGAGTAAACAGCTGGCAGAGAGTGGCCAAAATACTCCCATTGCTACAGATGAAGGGATTGCCAAGAGGATGTATGTGTTTGGGGCTTCCAGGTTTGAATCCTGGAATATGGTGGGTGTTTCCACTCAGTCCTAGGCTAGACAGCCATAGGTGTCCTCTGGGGGAAAGACTGTGTCAAACTTAGGTTTTGGATGGTTGAAGCAAAAGCATCGCTCCTCAGTTGCTCCTGGGGGAAAGGGCTAGGCCTCACACACAGCATCCAGACTTACTAAGTAGACTGTTACTGTTCCTCCCTGCTCCCTGGGCAGCTGAGTGGGTCTAGGCTTGCTACACAGACAGAGCCTCCATAGTGGGGGTAAGGCGACATGGCGGAGCAGCCTTCAGCCCTCTGTGTTTGTGGACCACAGGTATTAAATTTCATACTGATACTTGCATAGACAGTTATGGTCGAGTTAACCATTTATTAAAAGTAAGCCTCCCCGTGCAGTGTTTTTAGACATTTATCTTATGCATTTGGGAAAACATAAAAAGCCATTTCTTAGTTAATGTTCTATCATTGAGACCTTTAACAGAGATGAACTCCCCTTTGCTTTGTTCCTGCTTCTGTGAGCCTAATCATGTTTAGAAGGGCACTGGCTGTTTCCCAAGGAGGCTGAGGAGGGGTCTACTTGGCAGTGTTCTTACGGCTTGTTCTGTCTGTCTTTTGCAGTGCAAGTTGGAGTTCCATGCTTGTTCTACCGGCAAAAGTCTCACCACCCTCTGTGATGGGCCGTGTCCATGTCTCCCAGAGGCTGAGCCACCAAAACACAAGGCAGAAAAGAATGGTGAGTGGACATCACACTGAAGGGGGACTGGGTGGTCAGCATGGCCTGATGTGGCCAACGGCTGCCCCAGACGCCAGGAACCCAGCCTTTAACAGAGCTGATCTAGTTTGGGCTGGCGAGATGGGTGTGCTTGGCAAGTACTCCAGTTTCATTTAGGAACTCCAAATTGAACCACCTTCAACCTCCATTTGATAGAAGAAGAACTGGGCATCTTTGAAAATAATTCTGTTAGACCAAGATACGCATTAGGTTCTTTCTAGAGGTCAAATTGGCTATGGTGTAGGAAGGGCAGGGTTTCAGCGTTAAGACCAGGCCTGCCCTGGGTGTGCCTTGGTCTTCCTTGAACTCTCATCTCTAAATCCTTTGAACTTCTGAAAGCCAGATTTCAAAACATAGACTGCAGAGATGTCATGACAGTGAATAGTAGGCCCCCCGCTACTGGCAAAAGCATTTCTCTATGAATATATTCTGCCGGGCATGTGGCACAGAGCCAAGGGATGGATGGAAGGAGAATAACTTCCCAGGGGCAGTGGTTCCCTTTCCATGGCTGAGAGGGGTGGGAAAGGTCGGGCCTATCTGAATGTTTTCATGATGTAGAAATTAATGTTGTCCCACTGGGCTCAGTCCCTTAAAAGCCTTCTGTAATGAAACCTAGATAGAAGCTTGCCTTCTGTGGAGCTGGGCTTTCTCAGCTGTAGCTGGCTGTACCATGAACAATGTTAGACATCTGTGTGTGAGTGCATGCATGCCTGCACATACGTGTGTTCTAAAGCCCAAAGCTATTTGTAATGGAGGAAGATGAATTGGATGTGAGTGTTTATCCACTTGCCTCTTCCTAAGCTGTCCTGTCTTCGCCAAGGCACAGGGATGAAGATGTCGAAGTGTAAATTTGTTCATGGTAACTGAGGGAATATTGTGTTACAAGGTTTTTGGGGAAGTTTAACCCAGGATGTAGAAGGACATTGTAAACCGTGAAACATTGAGGTCACAAATCATCTCCGTAGATTACTGTTAGTTACCAAAAGGCTAATCTCATTGCATTTTGATCTGATCATTTATAGAACTCCAGGAAGAAATGTTAACTAATCTATGTAAGCCTCCTTGAACTTTGGTTGGAAAACCCAAAGCCCTGTGTGGTAAGCGGCAAAATCCATAAGATTAACTTCTGTTTTGAGATGTGTTAAGACCCTTCTTAGGAAGTCTCCATAACCTCTTATTTCAAATATATTCTTTATTGCTGTTATTTACTTTTGTTCTGAGACAAGGAAACTGATGCAAGGAAGTCATTTCTGTGATTTGCCTATAGTTTTCTGTGAGAAGGCTTTGTAGTTCTTTAAACAAAGTACAACCCTTGTTGCTTCATGGAGGCCTTGTCACGTCTGATTAAATGAGATTCGTTCTCAAGTATGACTCGCCAGGTATGGCCTTGGGTGTGCCACTTATTTGTTCAGTCACTTACTAGTAAAAATTGGAACAAAGTCTTATCAAACCTATGCAAGTAACTGCATTGGCATTAACAGTAGAATTCTGAGAGGCTGGTGAGAACAGGATTACCACTTGAAAGTATTTCATTTCTAAATGTTTGTAAAAGTAACCATTAGGTTAATAGTGAGAATAGGACAGGAAGAAAGCATAAGGATTTTATTATATGATTATCAGAAAAGAGAACCATAAAATATAATACCAGCAATATTCTAAAACCAATGATCAAAATTATATATCCTTCATTAGTTCCTGCAGTCTTGTATAATTATTTTTTGTTCCACTGACCCTTGGGTCAACAGTTTGCTTTAATGAAGTCATCAGAGTATGGGAACTGCCCTCTCAGTCTCTAGTATCATTTAGCTATTGTCTAAGAAATATCACCTTTGAAGCCTGTAGCAAGAAAGGCATCTGTTACTTGTACTAACTGGGCACAGTTCTTACCATGAGGCTCTGAGATTGCCCTTCTTGGTCAGAGACCCAATTTATGCTGTGATTTAAAGCAAATATTTTATATAAGCATGCAGGAAAGTAGGAACTACCTACTGGTGATAAGACAGAACATCTGTAGTTAATTTAGTACATATCCAACAATATTTTAATGCAGGAGAGTATAATCCTCTATTAGGATAGGGTGCTTAACTATTTAATACAGATTTGATCTGTGTTTCCCTGGAGGACAAGGGCATATTACGGGCAGTGAGGGCACTGATAGAGCTCCAGGATCATTATGTGAAATGAAACATTTAAATGAAGAATATTCTACCTGGAGCAGAATCAGCCAAGGGAAGGCTGACTTTTTCCTTTGAGTTGACGATTCTTTCCACGTAGCTCTCACAATAGTTTGTGGCAGACAGTGAGCACTGAACTGAGGTTGTGGCAACTGGGATAAAGAAGAGGGAATGGTTTTTGCCATACATTAACATGAATCAGCCATGGGTTTGCATGCGTTCCCCATCCTGAACCCCCCTCCCACCTCCCTCCCCATCCCATCCCTCAGGGTCATCCCAGTGCACCAGCCCTGAGCACCTTGTCTCATGCATCAAACGTGGACTGGCGATCTGTTTCATATATGGTAATATACATGTTTCAATGCTATTCTCTCAGATCATCCCACCCTTGCCTTCTCCCACAGAGTCCAAAAGACTGTTCTATACACCTGTGTCTCTTTTGCTGTCTTGAATATAGGGTTATCACTACCATCTTTCTAAATTCCATATATATGTGTTAGTATACTGTATTGGTGTTTTTCTTTCTGACTTACTTCACTCTGTAGAAAAGGCTCCAGTTTCATCCACCTCATTAGAACTGATTCAAATGCATTCTTTTTAATGGCTGAGTAATATTCCATTGTGTATATGTACCACAGCTTTCTTATCCATTCACCTGTTGATGGACATCTAGGTTGAAAATCACTACAATATTATAAAGTAAGTAGCCTCCAACTAAAATAAATTAAAAACAAAAAAAAGAAGGAATGGGTGCCCAAGAGGGGTCAGAGGTGAAATGAAGGGCAGCTTTCATTTGGCCATTTGGCTGTCAAGGTGGAGGGTGGAGGGGCATGCCCATCTACCCACCTTCCTTAACCTGGTAGCCGCCCCTCTCTGAAGCTGCATGCGGTGGGAGTAGCAGTCACAGGCCACTCTGTCCATGAGGTACTTTATGGCTCTGAACGGTGTCAGGAGCACTTTTGTGTCTGTACCTATTACAGAAATGACATTATATCATCTCACAAATACAGGCATATCAAAAATGTGGCATTATTGTTGTTAATGATACTTTATTTTCAACCTCCCCTGTTTTGAACCTTGGTTTCTTCTGGTAATATAAACATTAGTGTAGTCATTTCCAGGTAAATTCTATTATTTTGGGATTGTATCTCAACTCTAGAAAGTAGGATTGGGATGGGGGCTTATGAGCAACCGTATGGGTGTGACGTGGTTCCTGGTGTGTCTCTTTCTTTGGCATCTACCTCTCTGGGGTTTTGCTATTTTTATTAGTGGTCCAGCAATGCTCACCCTCGGTGTAGCCAAGGAGAGATGTTCTGAGACCTTCTCTGTGACATCTGCTACACATGTTCATTCAAGTCACACTGAGTCCTCTTTCTTCTAAGTCCTACACTTTTTGGTTCACTCATCCTCTCACCACCCCTCCTTGGCCCCTTTCAGGGCCACACAAAGCTTGAGGATGTCCTTATATGACCTTCTGATGTCAGGAAAGCCTGTGATGGGTTTGTTCTCTCAAGACATCTCGAATCTGCCCCGCAATCATTTCTCTTCCATGCAGAAGACATCTTTACAAGACTGGTTTCAGAATGAGCTTCATTAGTAGCAAGACACTGGTGCTCTTTGTTGTGGAGCTCCAGCTGCCAAAGGTTTCAGGATCACCTCTTCCTGCCTAGGACCCAGAGGTGACTTTGGAGACAGGAAAGTGCTGTGGTGGGCAGAACTTTCTTGGAGACACAGCAGTCTCTGCCTGTGCTTCTCCTTCCCTAAATATGACCTCTTGCAACCCCATTACTTGTGACCAGTACTGGGTGTGAACATCCAAGGTTTGTGAGACCAGGATCTAACTCACTCTCTTTCTGATTTTGCTGTGCCTCTTCCTGCCTTTGGCTGTTTGAATTACAGCAAACCCATTCTTGCAAGTCAAAAGTGTCTTGTCTGATCAGATTTGGTTTCGAGAATGTTTTTAGGAAGTCAAAAACAAATCTTTGAGTTTTGTGTTCTCTCTGTTTTTTCTGGCATCTCTTCTTTGATGTGGCTCCTGAGGGGATGGTAGAAGGTGGAGTCATCCTTTAGTACCTCTAAATATTTCCTTTCACATCTCTCAGTTGCCTCATGACCTTGGCCAAGTTATTTAATTGCTTTATCTCTCATTTCTATGATGCCAAACCAACCACAGGAGTATGGGGTAATGACTGTCCATAGGAAGGGAAAAATTAAAAAGAGGGAGATGAGATTGAAATCCACACATTAAGCCTGGGTTTCTGTACCATCTCTAAGAGTTTCTCAGGAAAGATCCTTCCCCTGTCTTTTCTGGTATTGATGCCGAACGCTCAGCTTCTCTGTACACGGTGCCAAATCGAATCCTGGAGACAGAGTTTTGGGTGAAGTAGAAAAGAATAGCTTTATTGCTTTGCCAGGCAGAGGGGGTCACAGCTGGCTAATATTCTCAAAATGGTGTGTCCCAATTTGAAGATAGTGAGAAGTTTTATAGTAATTGTTCAAAGAGGGCATGATCAGCTCGTGGACATTCTTTTGATGGATTGGTGGTGGGGTAAGTAGGAGTTAGCATCATCAACTTTCAGGCCCAGCTTGTCTGGGGTCTACATGGTTTTGGGCAGCATACCATTATTAATCGTCAACTTCTCCCACTTGGAGGGGCTTTCAGTATCTGTACAACAGCTCAACAGATTTTGTCTATCCATTGATGAGGAAACAGGACCTTGCCCCAAGGTTGCTCTTGACTGTTTCTCCCTGGTCTTGCATCACCTCCTGTCTAATTAACTTTACTGC